TGCACAAGAGGTTAACGGGGCATCTGGTTTTCAGGCCTGAAATTTCTGAAATTAGGGTTTTGGGCTCAAATTTCATGTTTTTTTGGAATTTCAAGTTTTTGCTATATATGCATTTTGATAGGGTTGCCGTATATGAAATTTAGATTGGTGTGAAGTGTTGTTAAAATGACTGTCTGGTTTTCTTATAAATGGGCCTGAAAAATGGGTGCTCGGTTAACCTGCTCTCACAACCTGTGTCTTGTAACACAATAACCTGTAGAATACAGGCGCCCGACCAGCACAGCGTCCCTTTTCTATACATCGCGGTTTTACAGTTTGAACAAGTCTGGGGCCGAGGGTCCCTTCCTCCCAGTCCCCGAAGCCCTCCTAGTCTGTTTGTCCTCCCTTCCATCTGTCTCTGCATCCAGCCTGTGATGTATCTCCGACCTCTCTCCATGCCTATTCTGAGGTGTAATCTACCAGCCTACCCTCCCCCAGAACCCCTTTTCCCTCCTACCCTCAACATGTCCACTTTCCCATCCTTTCTTGCCCATGGCGTGTATAATTCTATGAGAGAGCTAGTACTATTTTCACAAGCTACCGTCAAATGGTCAGCAATCACTAGGCCCGTTTTCCTCTCTTTTTCCCTCCCTTCTCCCTTTTCTTTTTCTTTCTTCGAAAAGGGCGACGACCTTGAGATATCGTGTCTCGCTCCACTATTCCAGACTCACGAAATTTCGTGAGTTCGGCCCCGCTCCACTAACTCTAGAATCGAACTCACAAAATCCCCGTCTAGAGTTGACAGTGGCAAGGTGCGGGCTTGGGGCCTACAGAAGCAATGTACAAGGAGGGTCCGTTTCACTTCAAGGTGTTCATATACACAGTCATCGATAAGCTCGATTTGCTTCGAGCAAGGGTGAAACGAATCGCCTCCAGCGCATGTCATCTTGTCTGGGACAAACTCGGTAGACAAACGACATTGCTTCCTGTATGCATGAGGTCGAAGGAAGTATTGGCAGTGCCCGACGACATCGTCACCTCAACGCAAAAAATGGTATGCAGGGCCGCCATCGTGAACATCTCGTCCTCCAATTTCAGCAGTGCATGGACCTCGCAGGACTTTGATGCGTTGCACACAATGATTACCAAGTGGTGTGACCATAATTGAATCTTCTTCTTCTTTGCACCGCAGAAGGTGCAAAGCGATGTCTTGCGTCACTTGTTCCGTTGGGAGGGCGTCGAACTCATCCCTGGGACCTGGCAACGGGTGGACAAGCCATGGAATGACATCACAAGGTATGGTAATATCGCTACGACAAGTCGGGACACGATGGTCATTGTCCTGCACGCTGAAGGAGGGGATCTGAAAAAAGTCACTGCCACACCCCAACTTCTCAATGACCTCACAGAAGTGCATGTTGTGGAGGAGAAGTTCAGGAAGTGTCAAGGAAAACACGGTGGCATCGACGACGACGGAAATGCCACATATTCATATGGGAGTGAGAACCTAACAGGTTGCGTTCGTTGTGCGGTTCATTCGTCGGAGAGGCGGAAGGTGTGCTTTTGTTGGGCAGGGCACACACAGGTCTTGTGTGAGAGTTCTTGCTTGCAGGTGATAATGTCATTGTCTGTGACGAGTCGGTCAAGGACATTGCATACTTGACAAAGTTCATCGACATACTTGTCAAGGATGACAGATTCGACTCTCGAGTCGAGAAGTCGCGTTCCACACATCGCAACAACAGGGATATGTACCACAAGTTGGGACCGAAGAGACTGAAGGTGAAGGAATACCTATTCCGCGATGCGCCACAAAGATGTCTTAACGAAAATTATATATATAAGAAAGCAAAGGCGACAGAGACCCTCAAACATTATCACGGTGCTCTGACTGGCGCCTTTGAGATATTCGTTGCTCGATGCGAGATCTTGAAGTTTGCTATTCACAAAGACCAACCGACGTTCAAGAATTATGCAAAGCTCGTTAAATCGATTGAAGGACTTAAAACAACAATTTCGTCAAAACGGACATTTTTAATGATTTTTTATTTTTTTAACGAAATGGAGAACTCAAAAATCGGTTCGATTTAGGTCGATATTTTCAGCTCCTGAGGGTACAGCGTTCTGAAAACGCCCTACCCTCTGGATGTGAGCTAAGTCCAGATACATTAAGGGGGGTATGACGTTTTCATAATGTCGTACCCCCTAGACTTCAGCTAAGTCAAGATACATCCAAGAGGTCTGGCGTTTTAAGGACGTCGGACCCTCAAGAGCTTAAAATTTTCACATAAATCGAACTAATTTATGAGGTTTCAATTTCGTTTAAAAAATAAAATATGTTCGTTTTGACGAAATTGTTGTTTTAACCCCGTCGACTACGAGAAAGACTCATCGGACTCCGACCTCGATATCGAAAACAACACTGATGCAACCGGGTGGCGTGGACAGTGCGTTGCCATGAACCACGACGTACAGGATCCTGGTCATCTCATGACAAAGGCACATGATGACGGAACGGCGCGTTCACAGGGATGCTCCAACCCGTGATCGCAACCGAACAGTGTAGCCTCAATGGTGGGCCGCGTCGAGTGTACTCATATGGATGCAGAGACTGGAATGTGCCGAGGCGATAAAGAAGATGAGCTTGATATACGTGACCTAGCATCGAAGCTCACGTCGGACGAACTGATTCCTCCCGACTTTTGTGTGGACCTGACCACTATCCATTTTTTGGAGGACAAATACGCCCGCATTGGTGAGGACAAATAGGGTCATGATATCATCTGGCATGATGGCATTTTAGAGTCATGCATCCAAGGTGGGGAGTGGAAGATGACGATGAAGTGCAAACCCGGTTGGAGAACTTTTGACCGAATGGCAAAGGGCACTTGGCTGAAAACGACGGAGCATGCAGTTCTAGACCGCGTGCAGAGAGAGAACCTGGGGCAAAGTGAGATCGTCATCAAAGCAAAGACGAAACATGTGTTCAATGTCTTGCGAGACAATGGACAGTTGGAGTACAGCGGCAAGTTTTACGACCTGCGCACGAGCCCCTCACGCGGGTCAATCGAGTGGAAGGTCGATCACACCGCCGAGGCCATGAAGGTGAACGTCTCTCATGATGTCGTGCTTTTGTCCACACCGACCACAGGGGACACGAAGGCTGAGCAGAGGGAAGATGACGGGACAACTTCCGACGTGAAGGTTGCATTGATTCCGAAGGTGGAGATAACGTCTGCAACGAAAAAGTTCGTGATTGCCATCTCCGTCGCCACGACAAAAACACCTGAACGTGTGGATATGTCAATCACCGAGCCGTCGAATGTGGGTGCTACGTACGGGAGTCTCTTGTTGACAGATGCTGCATTGGAATGCAGATCAGAGATGGAGTCCGAGTCGGCTGTTGGGATGAGCGTCGCGGGAATGTCGTTGTAACTGTCCTCATGCACTGACAAAGGTGATGCACACTCATCTCTAACACTACAAAGAAAGGGCGATGGGGATGGTTGAAAGGGGGGGGATACAGAAAGGTTGCTCTATTCTCGCAATCTTGACACCTTGACCACGAGCATTGATGATGAGGCCGAAGGTGGAAAAAACGTGGTCGATACCGCACATGGAAAACATGATGGGTGAGGCGGAAAATGAAGTAGAGGGAAATCATCCAGCGATGAAATTACAATGTTTCATTTTCTTCTTTGTATACATATGTATTATTAACTCATTTATTTTCATTTAATTTGAAATTGTGTCTCATTCTACATGATTTTACTCGTTTCTTTTGTTTTGTTTTCTGAACATTACGTTCGACCTAAGTTGTTTAGGTTACTTGTTCGTTTCGTTGTTCTCAAGAAAATTGTGTTGTCAACATGAGTGTGTTAAATTATGTAGGTCTCTCTTTCTCTCTCTTCTCTCTCTCTCTCTCCTATATATATATATATATATATCGTCACAAACAGAACTGCCCGGTAAAACCGTAGGCAGAGAGAGAGAAGAGGACAACAAACGAGGGGCTGTGACAAACTGTTTCGTCGGAGTTTCACCGACTC